CTCTCTCTCTCTCTCTCTCTCTCTCTCTCTCTCTCTCTCTCTCTCTCTCTCTCTCTCTCTCTCTCTCTCTCTCTCTCTCTCTCTCTCTCTCTCTCTCTCTCTCTATTTTGTATACTTTATAATTATTTTACGTGTCTATGTTTCTTAACGTATGTTATGCCTTTCGATTAACTCGTATGATTATTATCTCTCTTATATTATTATATCTACATTTCTTCTTCCCTTTCTTCGATAGATACTGATTACTAACATTAGTCACCAGTATCGTTTAATATTAGTTGAAAAATATTTAAATGCAATATATGTAGTTGTATTATAAGGAAACTCGATTCCATTATTTGCCTAATTCTTCTACATTTCTGAAATCAATATATATATATATATGTATTAGGATTAAAAATCATATAATCCACGTTTTCCTAGTTTTATTATCTTTGAAATAATATCTATATCTACACCTTTACCTTTAAATCATCTTAAATCGAAATTTGAATATTTCGTGTATTCAGAGTGTATAAGAGTAGTACCAAGAATTCGAGTTATAGATATAGTAGATTTTTAATATATAAAATCTTAACGTTTTGACACGGTACTTATTCGTAATAAGCTCAGTTTAGAATCAATCGTGAGCTAAAGACACGAAATTCTTATTTCATTTTTCTGAACAACAATGAATACAGAAACAGCTAATGAAAAACGAAAAAATATCGAGACCCTTCCTATTTAAAATTCATGAAATATTGTTTTCACTGGATTCAAGGAAATGATTACATATACATATATATATTCGTAAAAAAAAAAATCGAGCACATGGCGAATAAGTACTGAATTCGTAAAAAAAAAAAAAAAAATACACGCGACATATAAAAGTTAATTAACAGATATAAATAAAAAGAAGAAAGATAAGAAAAGGGAATCGAGCTTCAAGCAATAGTTATAAAGAAATTTAAATACGAATGTGTATGTTATTAATGAAACAGACGAAGAAATAACTGGGAACAGCCATGTGAGCGCAGCCAAGCCCGAACCTGGGGAGAACCATCATGCAGTTAGCCACGCAGCTGAAGGGAAGAAGGAGAAGAGTGTTTTACAAGCCAAGCTAACTAAACTCGCCATACAAATCGGTTACGCCGGCTCGACCATAGCAGTGCTTACCGTTATCATTCTAGTCATTCAGTTCTGCGTTACCACATTTTACGTGCAGGGAAAAAGTTGGAAAAACACGTACGCTGGTGATCTGGTGCGGCATTTGATCATTGGTGTAACGGTACTTGTAGTTGCCGTTCCCGAAGGTCTTCCTCTAGCTGTTACCCTCTCCCTCGCTTATTCCGTTAAGGTGACTATTTATCAAATTCATTCTCTTAAAAGTTATATCAAATATACAGTTTCTAAAGCAGAATTTGATAAAAGTATGGATATCTAGCTTTGTACAAATGAGATGATATAATGCCAATCAAAAACATACACTTGAGTACTCTGGGAATTTATTTTTTTTTAACTTAGATTAAATTATTTCTTTGTTTCTTTTTATGGTGTGAAAACTTAACTTTTTCAGATCGTATATATATATATTTTATTTATTGCTGAAATCGTGAAAAGGAAACTGTTGATAATCGAAGAATTTATATAATTTTTCTGTTTGTGTATAGAAAATGATGAAAGACAACAACTTGGTGCGTCATTTGGATGCTTGTGAAACGATGGGTAACGCGACGGCCATCTGTTCGGACAAGACTGGTACCCTGACAACCAACCGAATGACCGTTGTTCAATCGTACATATGCGAAAAGATGAGTAAAATAACCCCGCAGTTTTCGGATATCCCGTCGCATGTCGGAAACTTAATGGTTCAAGCTATTTCTATTAATTCGGCGTACACATCCAGAATAATGCCTGCGCAGGAACCTACAGATTTGCCGCTTCAAGTCGGCAATAAAACCGAATGTGCCTTACTTGGATTTGTAATAGCCCTGGGCATGAACTATCAGACGATACGAGACGATCAACCTGAGGAAACTTTCACGCGTGTGTACACGTTCAATAGCGTTAGGAAGAGTATGTCCACCGCCATCCCGAGGAAAGGTGGTGGATACAGGCTCTTTACCAAGGGCGCTTCCGAGATCATCATGAAGAAGTGCGTTTATTCTTTTCTAATAATCTTTTAGCGATTATTCATTCGAGATTAATTCTTTCTCATTTATATTCGAGATGTCTGATCCTATGACGTTATATACGAATAAGATATTATTTCAATTAAGATGGGGAGTTGTTTTGTTCGCGAATACACGCACAGTGATTCATAAGATCAGATATTAAATTAAAAATCTTGTCATTTGTTTCGATAATCTTTTAACATTTCTTTGATTTCGTATATTTTTTTTTTTTTTTCCTAGATGTGCCTTTATATATGGTCGTGAAGGTCATTTGGAAAAATTTACCAAAGAGATGCAAGAGCGTCTGGTAAAGAACGTGATCGAGCCGATGGCGTGTGATGGTCTCCGTACTATCTGCATCGCGTATCGCGATTTCGTTCCTGGAAAAGCAGAGATTAATCAGGTTCATATCGACAACGAGCCGAATTGGGATGACGAGGAAAATGTTGTGAACAATCTCACGTGTTTGTGCATTGTGGGTATCGAGGACCCGGTACGGCCTGAGGTGCCGGAAGCGATCAGGAAGTGTCAAAAAGCAGGCATCACTGTGCGAATGGTGACTGGAGACAATATAAATACTGCGCGTTCCATTGCTTTGAAATGTGGAATTTTGAAACCAAACGAAGATTTCCTGATCCTCGAAGGCAAAGAGTTCAATAGGAGGATTCGCGATAGCAGTGGCGAAGTACAGCAACATTTGTTGGACAAAGTGTGGCCGAGGTTGAGGGTGTTGGCTAGATCGTCACCTACAGACAAGTATACACTCGTAAAAGGCATAATCGATAGCAAAGCGAGCGCGAGTCGCGAAGTTGTTGCTGTAACTGGTGATGGAACGAACGACGGTCCTGCTTTGAAAAAGGCGGATGTCGGTTTTGCCATGGGTATCGCTGGCACCGACGTCGCCAAGGAAGCTTCCGATATCATCTTGACGGATGATAATTTTTCGTCGATCGTGAAGGCAGTTATGTGGGGTAGAAACGTCTACGATAGTATAGCAAAGTTCTTGCAGTTTCAATTGACCGTCAATATCGTCGCTGTTATAGTTGCTTTTATCGGGGCATGTGCCGTGCAAGATTCCCCTCTTAAAGCGGTGCAGATGTTGTGGGTGAACTTAATCATGGACACATTAGCATCTCTTGCATTGGCCACCGAAATGCCTACGCCTGATCTTCTTCTTCGTAAACCCTACGGTCGCACGAAACCGCTTATTTCCAGGACAATGATGAAGAACATTCTTGGCCAAGCTATCTATCAGTTGACTGTAATTTTTATGCTTCTTTTCGTTGGTAAATATTATACTCTTTTTTACTCTTTTTTTAAAAACTTTCTATGTGTCATCTTGAATCCAAACGATATTAAATAAGTTCATTATTCTTTTCGAATTATTCGAGTAACGATATTAATAGAAAAAAAAAAAAAAAAAAATTAAATCAATATATCGAATTAATGTTTTAAATGATTTTATAAAAATGATTTTTTTTTCTTTTGGATTTTAAGATGAGCGAAACGGTTACATTCTTTCAATGACGAAATATATTTAATAGGTGATAAGATGCTCGACATCGAAACAGGCCGAGGAGTTGCGCAGGCTGGCGGCGGTCCAACGCAACACTTTACTATTATCTTTAATACATTCGTCATGATGACACTTTTCAACGAATTTAATGCTAGAAAAATCCATGGTCAGCGTAATGTCTTCCAAGGAATATTCACCAATCCCATCTTTTACACTATCTGGATCATGACATGTCTATCGCAGGTAAATTATCTTACAGAATGATTTTCTCACTAAAGTTAGTATCGTATCGGTGATTATGATCTGATAACTCATCATTTGATCTGTAATAAAGGCCGATGTTAAGATGATTGTGTGTGTGTGTGTGTGTGTATATATAATAAAATATAGAAAGAAAAATCATTTTTGGATGATACGAAAGAAGTATCTAATACTTATAACGATACTATTAAGATTACCATTAAAACTATAATTATGTATTTGACGATATATTTGTATTTGTTCTCGTTCTGTTTGTTATATATGAAATTAGGAATAGAAATTAATATTGTTGTATATTAGAAATCTTAAATATTATTTTGATAAATTTATAATGAAATCTAGCATAGTTTAATGTAGATTTTGAATTTGTTATAGAAAAATTTATTAATACTTGTTTTTAGCTATCTATCAATAATTATCTTTTAGATAGAATATTACTTTTACTCTTCTATCTAATTAAATAATAAATTAATAAAGATTCCAGCTAAACAGAAATGGATGCAAGAGAAGTCGCTTTACATTTGGGTGATATCGCAATTATTATTTCTTGTATCCTTTTAATAAAATCCTACGTCTGTTTTCTAGGTAGTTATCATACAATATGGTAAAATGGCGTTCAGCACGAAAGCTCTCACATTAGAACAATGGATGTGGTGCCTATTCTTCGGAGTTGGTACTCTATTGTGGGGCCAAGTAATTACAACTATTCCTACGCGCAAGATTCCTAAAATCCTTTCGTAAGTTATAAACATATTCACGTAAAAAGATTACCATTTTCTTTAGTGTCTAGATGATAAGAGATACTTCTGTTCGGTTTATCGGGCGCAGCCTTTGGCCTAATTTAGATAAAAAAATAATGGTTTCGCCCATGTTGCGTTCTCGAGCAAAAAATATTTTAAAATGGTATTTTTTCGTTACGTATATTCCTTTCGATTTCTCTTCCGTTTTTATCGTATAATTTTCTCTATTGTCTTTTTTTTTTTTCTAATTTTTTTTATCTGAATATCAAAGAGAATATGTAGCAACCACTCTAAAAAGCATCTAGGAGCTATGAATATAATTAAACCAATTATATTACTAATTAAATTAAGAGAATGTAAAATGGGAAGAAGTGCAGATTTTTTCTTACTTTCTTGCATTGTGTGACGCGACAGGAACGCGTTACATTAGGAATAAATTTCTTAAACTATTAATAATAATATGAAAACTTTTGAAGCTTTGAGAATGAATTTAACAAGCACGCACTAACAGTGTGTCTTGTTTATAAATTAATTAACTTAAAAAATTGAAAGCACAATTATAATTTGAGTTCTAACAGATTGTGATACGAGCAGCTTCTACGAGCTTTTATCGAGATCTTCCTAATAGACGACAATCGCCTTTGCATGAACCTCTTTATCTCGATCAAATTGTTTATCGAGGAAGATTTATTATATATATTATATATATATATATATATTTAAAAGGTGTTTAATAATTAAATACGATTCTTGTGCGTTTATCTATTGTGTATAAAATCTCTTATTGGAAAATTGACAATGGATAATAGTTGTATAAAAAATATTGTATTAATTTTATATGTAATTCTTGAAAATTACATTTATGAAAAATTTCCCTTTCTCAAATATATAATATCTTCGATATTAATTATAGGAATTAATTAATTAATTAATTTCTTAATTTTTTTACATAATTATACGGATATTTCTCAACATTAATGTAGAGAAATATTTATGTACATATCTCTCAATATTAATGTAGAGAAATATTCAAATATTTATGTACATATATTATTAGGACAATATTTTCTTATTATACAACAAACATCCGCCATTATTATACGTATATTTGCATATTATTTATGAAATATAAGTGTAGCAACATCTATAGTGAAAAAGACACTACCAAGATAAGTATCATTAGTATTGGTATCGTGTAAAGGTGTAATAGAAGGGAGATATGCATCGTGGAACTCATATTAATTATTATTATTGATAATTGTATATGATATATCGTAGCGCTTCTATTGGTTTATGTTCTCGCTTTTACAATTCCTTTTTCTATTGCTTTTGCTCGTCATATGTTTTTCACTCCATACTAGTATATCGCTTTACGTAGCATGCTCCTTAGATGCTCAGATATTGAAAGGAATCCAATTTAAATAATGATATGATGAACACTGTGATTTGAATTGAATACATTGGACAAGAATGATCGCGCGTGCTCAGTTGTTCCCTCGCTCCCCCCTCTCTTTGTAATTTTACGTTAGTGCTGGCCAAGTAATAAAATGTTCCAAGTTTCTTCTGAGAAAGAAACTTCGAATGTTTGAAGATAAAAAAAAAAAAGTTATAGAATAAGAATAAGTACCACAGTATCTGAATATAGATTGTATATATTTTTAAATTATAGGTATAACGAAGAAGTTGAAAATTATTCTGTAGAGAATGAATAAATCCTAAAGGGATTAATCTACACTGACAAACAATTATTCTCCGACAATCTGTAGATAATGGAAGATAAAATATATCCTGGGACAACTCATGATTAACTAACTTGGTCTATATTTCAGCTGATAAACTAAATGTAAACGCACGACACTTCCTGTACATGATCTGTGTGCATGATCCAGCAATATTACCCTGACTGCTGACGAACAATGTACACGGATTGTTTGAGGACAATGTTTGTCAGTATAGACGGGTCTTTAAAGGGGATTTTGAGCTCAAAATTAATGGAAGAAATGAATATGAATGAATGTTATAAAGCTTCTCATAAAGAGGATCAAAAAGATATTTAAAAATATCTTTATCCGGAATATTATCAATATTATTATGAAAGTAAAATTCTTGGAAATTTGTTAAGCATGTATTTATTTATTTAGATACTGTAGTACGTAGATATTGAAGAAAAAAAATGAGTATTAGTTTGCTTGGTGGATAGTAAACTGTTACTCGTGTCTTGTCTTATAAAACTTAAACTCCTAAAATATTAGCCATTGCATGACTGAAGATCCTTCTCCGACGTCTACGTACTTGTTTGTGTGAAAGAGTAACTAATGAAAACAGCGTTCTGACGATTCACTATACTCGTCACTCACAATATATCACACACGTATTGTAATATATTTGCGTTTTTGTTTGGTGCAAGGGATCTCAGTAGCGTGCTTGAACTGAGTTCAAGTTTATGAACTTTTGATTCCGAAGTTCTCGTGTAAAGCTGAAAATTCGGAATAATTAGAGTTATTATTATAATAAGTGGTATTTTTGCGCTTAGCGCTTTATCTGTAATCACTCTATTCTCTCGCCGGAGCTGTTTCGACTACTTCTTTCAATAACTTGTAACTTTTAACTATTTATCTCTGTCTTTCTCTCTTTTTTTCTGTTTCTCTATCTGTTTCTATGTCTATACATCTATATATATTTCTCTCCTTCTTGTTTGTCTCTTTCCATCTCTGGTTTCGTCCTTGTTCTTTCTCGATCCCCATTTTTATTCATCGCACGCACGGAGCCGAACTTTCTTCTTTTCAAATTCGATTTTTTTCATTCTCTGCATTTATTTCTCTCTGTCCACTTAGGCCATCTCCCAATTCGCAAGATGAGGTTAGGATACGAAAATACCTTGCGAATTGGGATTTAGCAATTTTCGCTGCTCTCGCGTTGAGCGCACTATAACAATATAATGAAAAGGCAAAATAGAAGAGAAGAAACATTGAAAAAAACATAACATAAACATAAATTAAATAAAAGAAATGGTTATCAATGTAATAGGATATATACATATATGTATAATGGGATGCTTCTGTGTGGTTGTCCGTTATACAAGCACGTGTTACAATTATGGAAAATGAAGTAATGAAATATGCATATGCATAATAATATGGGGTTCTATTCTCACATCTTTTAATATTAATCTTCTGCATTCGCGCTTTGTTGAAGCTTTTACTGAGCCATTTGTTGTAGGATATACATAGAGAAGTAGTTGCGGATTTTTCTTGAGCTTTACTTGAAAAATTGTCCTTCCTGTACAGGTAACGGAGATCTTGCATCTCCCTGGATGAATTAACAGCACATGTAACAGAGGAAACCAGAAATTGTACATATACGCCGTTTAAACTCGTTTCTGAATAAGAAAAAAAAAAAAAAAACGAATACAAAAAAAAGAAAAAAAGAAGGAATATGTTCAGAAAAAAAAAAAAAAAATACAGATCTCACACTTAATCTTAAAATTTACCAGATCATGTGGGCACCATTCCTCAAAACGTTTTGATCCTTCCTCTCATTATCATTGTATCTATTTTTTTCACCTTTTTTTTCTTTTTTCGTCAATTACGTTCATCGCTGTCGCCCTTCCCCTAATAAGCTCAAAAGTATCTCTTTTGTCATCATGCACATATCACATGCTACATAGATATCATCCATACATACGATCGTTCTTCATCAAGAAAGCCGCATTTATCGCTCACTTTGTCCGCATTGCACCTCACATTGCATCCCCTCGTTCGTTGGCTCATTCTTTTACACGTCGCAACATTTTTCTTGTATGTGTGCATATATTACTGGCTGTTTCGTAGTTACGGGCCTCTTCAAAAAAACTTTTTCAATAATACGCATTACTTACTGGAAGCAAAATTCATTAGAAGAAAAAAAAAAAATAATGCATATAATGTATTATAATGTAATAGAATATATAAATAAGTATATATGAATGAAGATATGCATAATAGAGCAACGTAAAAAAAAAAAAAAAAAAAAATAGAATGTTCGTAGTAAATTTATTTTAAATCACAAAAACTTATAGTCATATCTAGAAACTATCGGATATCTATTATATGTCTAGCAACTCTGAAACAGCCTATATGTCTCTCTATTCGTTTGCTTTCCTTTCTCAGCCACTTCTGATCATCGTTGTGCCACTGTCAGTCGATTATCCACTAAAAAAAAATTTAAATTAGCCAGCATCGTCGATACACCGTTAATAAAGAAATAACGCGGTTAGGTATCCAAGCTAAGGAGCGAGGGGAAAGATCGTAGAATTGTGAAAATTTTTGGTGCAGTGCGTCGAGGAGCCGGCTCTACGCGTCATCAGTCAGCCAAATCTTAAAAAGAAAAAAAAAAAAAAAAAAAAATAAACAAAAATACTTTCTCTTAAAAAAAAAAAAAAAAAAAACCTAACTTTGATTATAGACCATGTGTATAACAGGGATCGAGTGATGAAGAATTGGTTTCATGTTTTTTAAAAACAGATGGGGCCGCGGCCAGCCGGATGATATCAGTGCGATCAATCTAGGAGATGAGAAATTCGACCCTGACTCGGATAAAAAGCCGCGCGCAGGACAAATTCTATGGATCCGTGGTCTAACACGACTACAGACACAGGTAACTATCCCTATCTCTCACTCTCATGCCATCGCTCGGAAGTCAGCGTTCTCTTGGGTTCCCCTCTCCCTGTTCCTGGGATAAAATTAAACAATATCAAAAAATAGTACGAGAAAAAAGAGAAAAAAGTAACAAGATGGCTTGAAAAAAAAAAAAAGAAATATTATAACAGTCGCACACGCGACGTTCCGATTTTTTCTTTCTTTGGCCTCGGTTCGATGAGTCCTCCGTCGTTCTGGCTCCGAATTCTAGGCATTGTTTCGCCACCAGTCGGCTATATTCAGCATTTCTGAACCACATATATTTGTCATCGACCGTATTACGGCAATAACGGATTATTATTGCATATATCATCGTAGAACCATGTTGTTCTCTTTTTAACCATCTTTTGCGCAGATGGGTTGTTATATTGTGAATGAATCTTCACAGGCAAGAGGTTAGGAAGTGATGAAGAAAAAAATTGAAGCTAGTCTGTATCTTAACGCTATTTTTGATTATTTATGAAAATTTTTTATATGTAGAATTATTGGATTGGAAAAAATAAGGATATATAAGAGATTATATTATATCTTTATAATTAATATCAAGTGATATTCACAGGTTAATTTTTTAATTTTGGATTCACTGTGAAGAAGCATTCATGCAGTGGCATAATCTATGCAGGCGTATAGTCAAAAAATATAATATATATGTACGTTTGTTTCACATAAATACGTTTTTTAATTTTTCTCATTTAGTTTTTTACGTTTAAAAACGTTGTTTACCTTGGTTTGCATTTTCATTTGAGTTCTTTGCCGTGTTATCTCGATGATGCGTACCTCATGTTTTAGCCCTTTTGATCTTGCGATATATCCTGCATTAGCTAACAGAAAAAAAAAAAAAAAAAAAAGAAAAGATTAACGTTTGAACAAATCGTGCTCCTTATGTTGAGGATTGAATTAAAGAATTATAAGTTCAATCTGATTGTTTGTTTCAAGTCATTCTCTCTATTTCGGTATTTGTTTCGATATTTAAATCTTTTATTGGATTTTCTAAAGTTCATCAGATCTCCGTATAATCTGTTAGGCATTATTGTTGGCTTTCTTAATCCTTTATAAAATGAAATAAAATTGGAATGATTAATTTCTCTTAAAATTATAAGTTTCTATAAATCTTGAGAGCTTTTTATCTTTAATTCATCTTATCAATTAGCATCTAATTATATCATATTTTGTCTATGTTTCTTTTCAGATTATATTTCAGATTATCTTGATATATTTATTTTGATATTATATTGATAATATATTGATATATTTATAAAGGGTTAATGAATATATTGTCACTTAATTTCAGATATTCTAAAAAATAAAAAAAGATTCAAGAAATTTAAAAAATTCAGATATTAAAAGTTACTAATATTATTTTATCTCATTTGACAATCTCTTTGACATTATGTCTTTCCATCATTATTATCATGGCCATGTTTTTACAGGAAGTACAGGACTTGGCTTCTTTATTAAATATAATCATACTTCTTAAATCAGCAAATAAAATGAAAAAGGTTAAATTAAGGCATGAAAAAATAAATGATTAGATTAATCAAATTGATCTTTATTCATTATTTTATGTACACAGGTTTCTGTTAACCTCTGTTGCCTTATTGGCCATTTTCAATCAAAAAATATTCTATTTTAACATAAATTTAATTAAGTGAAATATAGCAATTAAACCAATAAGTTTATTAAAGGTAACCAGGGATGAGTAAGACATAGAAGTAGTTATAATAGATTTCTTCAGCTTCAGTATTATTGGTTAATTGTTTGGAATCCCAAACACATAGATATTTTAGATAGTTAATCATTAGTTTGCTTGATATAGAGAGACAAAAATTTGATGATTTAGAATTAAATTTGGCTTAAGCAATCTTCAATCCATTATCCTAAAGTTCAATATGACCTATTCTCTTCTTGTGAAGTAGATTTTAATTCTTGGAGACAAATGTCATAGGATTGAAGGAAGTAAGTGCTTTTTATTTCCATTTAAATATTAATCCAAAAAATTTTTAATTATGAAACATAATATGAAACAGATTAAAAAAATCTGTTTTAGAATAAATTATTTTAATGTCTATCTAACATTAAAATTCTCTGTAATAAAAATTGAGATTTAAGTGGAACCCTATCTATAATAGATATTTTGTATGTTGAGATTTTTGTTAATTTAATGATATATAAGTTAAATTAAGTGAACAGTTAATATAAGAATATTTGTAGAATTATTTAACATTTAAAAATTTAGGAATCGATGCTCGAGCGAGAGTCAGAAAGAGAAGGACAACCCTTCTTTGTCGATGCCGTCTCTCGTTAATTTTTTTTTTTATTTTTATTTTTTATTATTTTATTTTTCTTAATAGGAACGGGTTAAAACTGATGAAGCTAGCGCATACTTGACCATACTTGTGACTCGTGATCGTGTAAATTTCTTATTTTACACTATTACGTTGCCACTAATATTATATTATTAAAATATCTATTGGACATATGATAAAGGATTTGTTTAGTGTTAAAATATTTAATCGATTAATATTTGTTTAAATTATTTGACAGAATGATCGCATAGTCCAAAGAGTGAAAAGGAAAAAGAAGAGTTTAACCATGATAATTTCTACTTTCTTTATTCTGTTTACTTATACTTCATTTTCTCTCTTATTTCCTTTCTTCTTACTCTGATAACCACTACTCTTAATCTAGTACAATAAAATAAAATAAAAAACTGAAAAAGAAGATGTTTTGTGAAGTAACAATCATACATACACATGTATATGTTATATAACACACACACACATATATATATATAAACTATATATATAAAACTATGCAGAATATAATTTCTTAAAGAAATTACATTTTTGAAATTATTATAAAACAAACAGAAAACAAAAAACAATATTATAGACCCCACTCAATTAAGCTAATTACATAAATTGAATATGTAACCTACTTTCAGACGAGCAAAAGAACTCTGGTGCAGAATGTATCTGTGACAGGCAGATCCCCCTCTCAGGATTACTATATGGTTAGTCCGCAAGTCCAATCTCCGCACTGTTTGACCGTTCTTAAATATTAATTCTTTATTATAATTATGATCTGATTTTATTTTCAATTGGTTTTTTTTTTTTTTTTTTCTTCTCCATTAACCAGTTTAAGTTTTTTTTTCTTACTGGTGCTTTATGTTTGACGTACTTGATTATTCTTTTATTATTCTCCAAGTCTATCTTTATCTCTATTAATCATTACTTTCTTTCTTAACACCAATTTAAATTTACTTTTATTTTCATTTGTGTAATTAATCTTTGAAATTATGTTTTAATTTATCGCTTCTTATTTTTATATATAATTTGTAATTTTTTTTTTTCTTTTATTTTCACTTTATTCTTTCTTATTGATTGTCTGCCGTTTCAACATGTATTTCTCTCGCCTGTCTTTATCTTTCTCTCTCTGTTTCATTTCGTCGCAGTTCTGCTTGCGAATCGCGAGCTTCTATTCGTTTCGTTCGCGCAAATCATGCTATTTTCTTATTTTATTTTCCGCAGTGCGACACAGCGAAAAGACATGACATATATTGGATAATTTTCTTGTCCCTTGTTTCACGCTGCTATTTTTTTCTAATTGTCCCTATCTACTTTCTATATTTTTTAATACGTGTTACTTAATTAAATTAAGATCAGTCACTTTGTTTCAGTTAAGAGAGTTAGCTAAGAAAAAAATGGACAAAAAAGATAAGTCTTGAAGGGAAGAGAATTCTTTAAACACCAAATTTCAAACCTAATCCTGCCCCACCTCAAATTTAACCAGCACTTTACTCCAGTATTAAATTTGAAACAGAACAAGTATTACAATAGGTATTTAAATTTCAATCATATCAGATTTAATTTTGAAAGAATTATTAGTATAAGTGTTTTCTGTACTTTCTTGATATTTTTCACTTAGTTATAGAAATATTTATATTTATATTTAATTTGTATTTAATATTTTTTAATTAATAATATAGAATAATGAGAGGAACGTTTTGTATCTAATGAACATATGTCCAATCCCATCTTGAAATAGATATTTGCTATTGAGCAGTGTATTAGTATTAATATATGACAGATTGCATAAATTGCAAGTTTTTTTCTTGTATTTGCATCATTAAAACATTGTTATCATAAAATAAAGTAACATATGTTTCTTAGATTACATATGTTCTTTTTATTATTCAATGATACTTCCAGTATAATTAATCTGTAATCTTGAAGTAATTGTATAATATAGTGTAAAAGTGCATTATTGTAATAATTCTTTTTTTTAAATGCAATCAGTAATACTTATGAATTTACAAAACAACATAATTGTCTATTACGTATTTTACTAATTCATTTATTATATTTTTATTAATAATTGTGCATTCTTAACATCTATACTTTTCTACTCTTCTCTTCAAGTACAAAATGAAAAGGAATCTTTTATATTTTTTTATTTATATCAAATACGTTTCATTTGATTCTATTTTTAATTATCTTTTAATTAATTTAATTAATTTTTTGTTTAAAAAAGAAAAAAATTATTAATATCATCTTAAAATTTTAAAAGACATTTCTCTTAATATCCAATTTTCCTTTTCTATTCATTTTCATTTTTTATTTTATTTTATTTTTTTTTTTTCTTTTTTTCATTGATTTTAAGGTGTTGCATGCACATCTGTGCGTATGTATGTACGTATATAAGTTGCCCGTATATACGTGTATATACATAAATATATGTATATATACACACGTGTATGTAAAATGCATGCGCGTATGTGTAAGTACGCGTATATATATGTGTATGCGTATATATGTGTGCGAAACACACATACACGCGCGGCAAGGTACGCTTTTACAATTCTTTTTTCTCTCTTCGTTTCATTTCATTTATTAAAACACTCGGTCATTTTATATAAAATATTTAAATTTTAATATAAATGATTTTAAAATCTTCAACTTTTCTATAATATATTCATATAAAAAAATATTATACATTATAGTCCCCCTTCATAAAACTTGTATAAACAGAAATCATTATATCTCCAAAAATAGCGGAGAAATACATATTCATTAACAGAATCATCGAAGTGATTTTTATTTTTATGTTCATTTTTTAAATTAAAATATATTTATTTGAATTTCTATATCTCTACGAATTTTTTTTTTAATCTATTTTATATAATTCTTTCATATTGATTTTTTTTTTTTGACATTTGGGAATTGCTTTGTAATATGTTATTAAACGATTATTGATTTCTTGATCTGATCTGATGATATGAACATTTTTGTGATCTTTGTAAATGAATTTGTATTTATGTAATCTCGCTATTTATTTCTCAAATAGGTATCTCTATTTTTTTTTTTTTACTTTTTTTTCATCAACAATAAATAAAATATTTAACAATTTTTATTAATAAAAATATATCGAAAAATATTTTTATATATTTGATATAATTTTATTTTTCAATATCTTGAATTTTAAAAATATTAATTTTGTTCTAAATATTTTTAATCAATACACGAGCCAATGCATCATGAACAATTTTCGCATCATTTCTAAAACAGTTTTTAATTTCTTTTAAAAAGTTTCTTCGAAATAATGAGGAATAAGAAAAATTTCTTCTTTAATAAAACTTCGCACGATATATCATTATTATTATTCAAATACTACTCTTACAACAACAAGCTATGTATACTTGTAGAAGTAATGCAAGCTTGTGTATAAAGCTTCATCTTCATTATTACCATTATCATCCTACATACATATATTAACAAATGATCTTTATATACCCAATATAGAAGAAAAAAAAAAAAAAACAAGCTACGATGATTCTGAACTTAAATGCATAAAACAACTTTTCTTTTATGGAAGCTTATCTACAACTGAAACGTCAATACACAATTTATTATGCACTCAGGAATTAAGCAGCCTCAGAGTACCTTGTACGTGTGCTATGCGTGTAAATTGCATGCAAGAATTTACGCGACAGGAATCTACTGTGTTAAAAATGATGTGTAATGTGAGTAACTGTCAACATGACTAACCAGATCACAAACCAACAATGACACGCTAATTGCATTCTGTGTGATTCTCACGGAAAAAGCATACAACTTGTATAACTTGGAATATATGTGTGTCCAGCTATGGACACCTAAAATTCCATATGGCTGATATCTGCTCCTTTTTATCTCTCATTTCTGCTCTTTAATCGTTGCAGTGTGTGCCAGTCTTGCTGTGATATACCATATTATTATTAACGTGTATACGATGGATGATATATATCATAATGCATCATATGTCTCTTGATGTGCGTGTGCTGTTGAATATAATGAGATGTACATGCACAAATCTGTCTGTTTATCTATATGTTCGTCTCTATCTGCCGTGTACATGACAGTCGAAGCTCTTTAATTAATAAGGAAAGAACTTCAAGATATTTAACAGTCAACTTGCACCTATATACATATATAAAATCTTAAACATGCGATATATTAATATTACAGACATACATAGGAAGGTTAATCTAAAGTATTTTGCAAATTTGAGGCGAATGTGCATTTATATTATACAATTCTACTTTCTTTGGTTGGAAAAAAGGAAGAAAAACTATAAGAAAGATAGTCTTTAAATCAAAGGAAGCTAAAAATAATTAATAATAATCCTGGAGTTTCTAAATGAAAATTCTTAAAACGGTGATTGAAAGACTAATGTTATAAATATTGAATTTACATTGTTTTAAATAGATTTATCTCGCTGAAGATTTTTATGATTCTTCACTCATGACTCTGATTAGTTTCCAGGTTGCTGATCGCATAATTTTTTGGAGTTATAAAAACAACTGGCCTCTATCTCAAAAGTATTTGCATGCTGCAATTGGCCATTCAATTCTATGTCAAGCTTTTCAAGCTTTGTTCATTACACGAAGGTTCGAGTTGCTTTGTGTATCGTTCGATCTTGATGATATTGAGAAACATTGAAGAATCCTTATGCGATCATGATTTGCAAGTATAATCAATCCAATATTAATGCACGTATCAAAATCAATTCTCAATTCTTCAAGAGCCGATATTCCAAGTGATTTTCGATCCTATTAAACACGAGCAGCTAGCACGAAGCCTCGTGTACTTCAGGATTCTCTTCCCTTTTTATATACACAAACACTTATATATATATATATATATCTGCAAAAAGACACATTAAGAAGGCTCTTAACAACTGGGAACTTGACTAACAAGAACGAAGACCTCAGAAAAAATAATCTACAATAACAGATACAAAGAAACCAATAGTAATAATAACAACAACAGAGACACATAAGCCAGTATATCAGGAATAAAATACTGATGTAAACGCATTACAAAAAAAAAAAAAAAACACGCCTAAAAAGCAATGATATTATGGAGAGGATAGAATTAAAACTTATGGTATGATTTGTGGTTTGTTAGCCAGCGGAACCCATTCGGGAGACTGAGGTATAACGGGGCGGCAGTCTTGCCCGCCGCCACACTTATCCTGTCGGAGTACAAACAAGTACGTAGCTCATGTAGATCGCCTGCCGTTAATAATACGTTGTATCGTCAACTTTGCCATACGTACGCATACACAGGACGGATTGTCGACGTACGTACGGTGTGCTGAGAGAAACGTCGCTATCGAATCTTGTTTCTTCTTCAACGATAAATAATGTCTACCCTTTTGCTACTGTGATTACTTCATACAAAAAAAAAAAAAAAAAATAAGTTAATCTTATAAAGAAAAATATTAATTATACAAACTATTTAATTTGAATTGTAGCTCATTTAAGAAGATAAGTAGCTGCAATTTGAAGATAAATAGAAAGTTTTAAACACATATTTAAGACGTGAATATTAAAACGGATTATCGTATTTTATTATATTGATGATTTATAGGATTTTTGGAAATTTAATTTAATTTTCTTTGAGAAGAAAATCTTGAAGAAAAAAAAGAAAAATAATTTTATATACCGTATATAAAAATAAGAAGTATTTGAAATTTATTCATAGCGAAAGGGCCTTAATATATTTAATTAATGTTATCCAAAAAAAAAGAAAAAAGGAAATTTTATAGTGAAAAGCAATTAAGCAGGAACGAGGGCGACGATTCCTTAGTACTGATGCAGTGAACGATTTTCGTCACACCACTGTGTTTTTGTGTAGTGGGTGTGAGCTGGTCGGTGGAATCGATGGAAGAGCCTCTTATGCAGGTAGACCACCGTCCACCCGCCCTCTTTTTTCAGTAGTCTATAGTTGTCTGATATGATTGTGTGCTGCGTGTATTTTCCTCATATTGTGTCATTTTCATACTTATTCTCATGATATAATAATATGCAATTGTTAGAACGAAAAAAAAAAAAAGAAAAAAAAAAGAAAAAAAAAGAAAAGCGAGTATTATTTTTTCGTGGCGACTGTTGTACCTGTTTTTAAACACGACCATCCTTCTTTTCGTATCGTATGTATACTCGCACGAGGATTATAAATATATCTCGATAAGAGACATTTATTCAGCTTTTTAAAAGTTCTGCCTGGTCGAGCAGAATCTCTCCTCTCCCCCTCACTCTGCTGCTTGCGTTTCTGTATGTGTTTGTCTCTCCTGCCGCATTCTATTTTCTGGCTGAAGATTTCGGATTCCGGCAACTTGTGAAAAGTCTTCTTTTTAGAACATGTTTGCAAGCGTGCGATCGCGATAACCTGCTTTGTCTTTCTGTTTTTGCAGATAATCTCTAGGAAAAATTTTCACGACGTACCATTGTCAAAAAAAAGTCCTAGACCTTTCTTTCTGTCCCGTCAGAACAGTTTCTCTCGAACGAATATGTCTCTCAATATGTCTTTCTTCAATCTCATATTAATCCCTTGCCTCCTCCTGTGCCATTTGTTGATTATGGATAGATTATTACGATATCAGGTAGATTTGCTTTTTCTGCAGTTTGATTTTGATTATGGAGAATCTCTAAACTCTGTGCGAGCCTTATGAAAATGAAGAAATGAATAACTAAAGGCATAAACATCTCTTGGCATAACATTCTCTGTTTAGATAAATCGCAAAGTTAGAAATTAATGAATATAAATCGATATAAAAAATTGATTAATCTTTATAGTAATTATAAAATAGGATGGTGTTATGGAATTAATATTGATAAATACCATTGTAAATTTTATAAATTATATATATATATACTTATGAATGTTTATTCAACATATAAATTTTTATCATGCATATTATATTAAGATCTGAAGAATTTCATTTTGCTAAGAATCGTTAGTATGAAACATTTCAGAGGTTTAAATTATATAAAAAATAATAGTTCAGAATAAAAATAAAATTATTTAATTCATAGTTTACTTTAAAACCATTAAAAATTTAATAGAAAGTAACCAGGAATGTATTACATATTTATAGTAATATATTATTGCAATTTTAAGCACAGATTATTAATTTATTTAAATAGTTTTTTAACTGCACAAGAAAGCAATTTATCTGAGAGCAGTTTATAATCCAGTTTATATGTTTTGATACGGTATGTGAGTGTGCGTGTGCACGAATGCTCACGTTTGCATCGATTTTGTGTTTACCCGATATCTAACATGGTATTGCGCGCGAGTGGTATAGAAAGGTTGAATTTATTTGCAATGATTTTTGCATTCTAAACTAGAAAAAAAAAGAAGATCTCGCCGAATAAGAAGCTTCTAGTAGCTACAATTACTATTACTATACAATTACAATGTATTGTAATTGTTATAAAAATTATCGGCATGTGATCGATTCTTTTGGTGTTTCCGCCTTCTTGAATGAACGATCTTGATTTATCATTGGATTAGGCTTCTTAAGTCCGATTTTCGAAGGATTAAGTATCACACGTTGTGTTTTATAAATTTGGAATTTATCCAAATAATCTATTTATCTAATCTAATGTGCAATTATAAGGAGAATTGACAATTATATTAATATATTATCATATATTATATATATATATATGATCTTTTAAAGTGAAAAATTATGTATTTATATTGAACTATAAATATTATGGCACTTAAAATACATAATTCTATTTTCAGTGCCATTATATTATATATTGATTATTATATGTTATAATTATATATTGAGGCTGTGATCAGATTATGGAATAGACTGAGGTTTGACATAAAGGAATGTCAAAACATAGAAAATATTTCTGATAAAATGTGCAAGGAATAAACTTTGTGAACTTGTCTAGTTTTTCAACTAGACAAAATATGTTAACTGCTGGTGTTCACAAGAAAGAGAAACTTGAATCTGCACAATAAGATTAGTAGGAATCAATTTATTGCCATAAATGTGGAATGCAATTTTATTTAAGTAGCATGATCACAAAAAAGAAAATTAATATAAAATCACGAAAATGTTCACTAAAATATTTTCTAATTTATATAGAACTTTCCTCCTATTTCTATCTTTCTGTCTTTCTTTTTCTCTTCAGAATGTACACACACATATATACATTCTTTCACTCTCTATCTACTAATCTGATTATCTGTTTCTCTGTCTGTCTGTCTATCTTTGTCGCTATCTTTATACTGATTTTTAACTTTACACGCTTGACTCTTTGACTTTTTACGGTCATGATTTTAAGCGTGTGCTTCATCAAAATTAGTCTCTATTTTAGGACTCAATTTAGGATTTTTAAAAACCATTTCTAATTGACTTCAAAAAGAGATGCTTTAGTATTCCAAGCCAGGTTCTATATGTAGAAAAAAAAAAATAATATATATATATATATACTGCTCCAAATTGTTTCAAATATCTTAAAATTTCTGTTCTCATCTTTACTTAACATTTTTAACCCTATATTTCAATCCTGAAAAAAATATATTTAAATTGAATATTTTTTCTTATATATTATTCCAATTTAATTCCTATTCTAAACTAAATAACTCTAATTTCGAAAGGTTTTTATTCAATGAATTAATCGATTTAATGCATCATTTTAAGAGAGGCTAGTGTAGTCAATTAATCGAAGCAAGATGTGAAGCTTTTGAAATTTGATATTTCAATGATGTTCAGGTTTATCCAGATCTGGTAATACTGTTTAGGGGATGAGAAATAATCCCTTCGAATTAAATTGCTTATCCTTGAGAAGGAATTAACTTATAATAATGGTACGTAATGAAGCAAAGAACTCTTAATTAGTTCCCTCTTTTTTTTTTTTTGTTTGATCTTTTCTTCTTTGATCTTTTGCCAGAAATAAATAGGTACGCACAGTAAAAGGTAGATGCGCGCATGTACGCCTGGCTGTAGAGCCACGCCCGAGAACGCAGTCATTTAGATCTGAACTCGGATGAAATGCAACCAAGTCCACGGCGAAGAGAACAACCCACCCGATGTGTGCACATTATTAGACGAACTGTATACACATGTATATATTACACTATTAGAGAAAAATCTACAAATCTGTACACGCAGATTGTGAAATTTATCCCCGCAAGAAAACCGGAAATCTCTCCCTGACGAAAAAAAAAAAAAAAAGAAAGGAAAAAACATGGATGAAAAGTACACATATAGAACAGCAATTGAATAATCATAAGGCATCATCAAAAAGAAGAAAAAGTATGGAGATTATATACGTATTTATATACAGAATATTGATATATATATACAGAATATATTCATGGGATATTTTTGGAAGATCGATTCTACAGATTAAAACGAATACAAAAGTTAGTGTATGAAAATATCAATCGAGATTCATTTGTTAAATTTATTAATTCAATTTTTATTTAAGTTATAAGCAATTTAAATTTTTTTTTCAATTTCAATTGCTTGTAATTTAGCAAACAAATCTCGATCAACATTTTCATATATTAAATTTTGTTTTTCTTTTTTGTCTCTCTCCAGAATTGATCTTTCAATTTCCTATTAATATATTTAACACTCTGTATACGTGTATATAAACATTATATGTATATATCTTATATAGTCTTTATATCATAGAAAGCCTAATCTACATGAGAAACATAAGTATTGACACACACAAATTGAGATAAATACAAATATGACATGCTTGTGTGTCGCTGGCTTGCCTCCTCGCTTCCTGATAGAACATCCTCTTCCCTGTTTTTGCAGCTTCGAGTAATCAGAGCGTTCAAGTCGACTCTAGAAGATTTGGAGGAGCGTCGCTCTGTCCATAGTTTACACAGCTTACACAGTATGCGCAGTTCACGCAGCCACACTGGGCCCCGACCACTTTCTGACTTCACATACATTGACGAAGACCCGACAAACAGTGCGCTGAACGCCAGCAAGGGCAATTTGCCGAACAAGACCGCCGAGGATCATACGACCGCCAGGATGAACAGCTCTACATCACCATTGTTGCTCAG